ATTTGCAGTCTGAAAATTTGGAAACTAGATTCTGTTCATCCTGTGTACCGTTAACTCTGAAGCCTGAAGATGGCTTTTTAAATATCACTCTGATTGACTACTTTACAGCTGAACATTTTAATGAAACTATGTAAACAGTATAATTTTGGGAGTGGTGTCTTAACTATAATTTATTTAGATTTATATTTTTTCAAAGGTCTCTCTCTTTTTCTTTTTTACCGCAGTCCAAAAAAATAATGGCTAACAACAGTAATATGCTTATTCTGCAGTCCTCCTCTAGCTCTATTTTATTACAGAAAACAGATACTGCAGTACTGCAGATACACTGGAGCTGAGTGCAGTGTAAGCACAGCCAAGCGTACAAAAAATAATTAATGATGGCCAGTGTTAAGATACTCCTCAAAATCTATGGTTGTTTCACACAGTGTATACCAAATGAGCCCATGCTGAAAGAGCACAGTGTCGTTATCTGTGGAAGGAGAGAAATCAGCAGACTTTGAGGCAGGGGAAATTCTGTGTGTGTTAAGGTAGGAGAGCAGTTTTTACATGCAGATGAGGAAATGTAAATTCCACTTACTGGGAATACAAAAAATATTGTAAAAGAATATTATGATGAGGTGTTTATGAGGGATATGGGATATTTTAGAGATGTAGATACTACAGTACTGCAAAAAATGTGTGCCACATAAAGTCCCAATAGCACTGAGATAAAAATAAAGGGGTGAACTTGACTGCATGGCAAAATCAGATGTTACTGTGCGGATACAAACACCAAGTAATCAAGTCAACAATTGTCCATTTTAAGAAACCAAACAATGCAAGGAATTTTATAACTTCGAAAGATTTAAATAAGGCAATCAAACATGAATGCTAACCCAAGAGAGCAGCTGAGGGCATCTGCCCAGATCATCACTGTTGTATCTTAGCATAACTCTGAAGGCAATGGAGTTATGCTAATTTACTCCAACTGAGGATCCAGACAATCATATTAAGGACTTTGAGTGACAATATTACTTTTATTTTGGGTTATATATTAAAGGTTTTGGCAAGTCTGACCAAACACAGAAAGTGCAAAACACTGCACTTTTAATCCCCTTTTAGCAACTGTATAGTTTATGCAACTTCCCATAGGGATTGCCTCAGCACTTGGGATATACCACAGCATCATGTTGCAGATCTTTGCGGATCTGGATGGAATGAAAAATTGGTTATGATCTGTTGATTTGAAGCAAAAATGATCAACATCACAATGGCAGTTTGCACAATAACCAAATTGTGCCAAAGACCCTTGAATTGAATACAAGCAAATGACAGGCTGAATGAGATTAATTATGCAGGACACATTCAATGACAAAGAAGTATGACCAAACCCAAGGAAGGCGGAGGCAAGTATACAAATGGAAAGACTCCAGGACAAGGAGGCCTTAGAGGGATTCATTGGGGATATTAACATAACTAAGCATATTCATCAATAATTAATCACAATTAAGTGCTCCTCTCAGAATAGCTGCTTAGTGACTGCACAGAATGACACTGGAATGACTGACAAAAGAAAAGTTTTGAAAATTAAAATGAACTGCCAAATAAACATTCACATGGAAATATTTGGCGATTAGAGGAGAGCTTAGGAACTATGGGTTGTATCTTCAAACTTCCCTATGTTGTTATTGCAGACATTGAATTCCGCTTTCAAAGTTAGGCATATAGAAGTTGCAAGGATATAGATGCCCAGCACTTACATTCCTTCTGAAAACAAATTTTAAAATTTTAAGTCATACAGGTTGTTTTGAAAAAATAAATTCAGTGAATATTCACTGGAATTGAGACTATTTTGGGTGACAACTAAGTGGCAAATAGTTTTAAATAATGATTAAAACTCAAACAATACAGCTATTAATAGCTTCTGTTTAAAATTGTTGAGTACATAAAGAATAAAAAGTCATAAACTCTTTGGGTATTATATATGCCACTATGCAAATGAAGCCTCTAATTTAAGAGCATTTCATGGTATTTAAAAATTACTAAGGCCCTGATTCTGCAAGGTGTTTCATGCAAACAATGCTGTGCCTGCATGGAACATTTCACAGAATCAGATGTACTGATATGCGGATGGTTTTTAAGGAGCTTTTTAGAGAGCACATGCTTTTAAGGCTACCTCTCAATAATGAAAACAATGATGAAGGGTCTTATGTAAATGCAACTCAAGTATTTTCCATTTTGGAGAAAAAAGTTGACAAACTTAAGTGAGAAAAATGGAATGACTCAACCTTATTGGAGTCTGAATGAGTTATTCTAGCAGGAAAAAAGCCCAGCCACTTCCATATGTAAAACTTATTGCGACTACAGAGATGAGATTGCTGCAGATGATGGGTTTCTATACAAAGGACATTATCATAACACCACACAACATGAGGTTGGAAATGCTAGGTATAACCTACAGTGCCCATTTGAGTATTGAGAAGTGCAGGAACAGAGCCCAAGGTGTTCTGTTCTGGCCAGGCATGCATGCTGCCATCAAAGATAAGGTATCCAAGTGGAAATCTGCAATAAATACAGGAAACAAAAATGCAAAAAAAACCCACTGAAACCACATGAGATTCCTAATTTCACTTGGCCCAAGGACCTAGCTGAACAAACTAGGAAAGATTATTCCTTACAGGTGAACTAATATTGGGATCTATACTCTTTGGTTTTGCTTTTAATAATTTAGACTCTCACACTAACTTGCAATTTAATAATACATTAAAAACCACAGTTTGTTTTACCATAACATTGCAGATAAGTTAATAAAACACTATCATTTACAAATGGCTCACTCTAGTAATTTTTAATGCTACTCCAAACATATCACAGCTGGTCCTTGCAATCACATTTTCTATATAGAAATCAGCTAAAACATCAAGGAGCTTAAAAAGGTGTCTTCAGATTTCAATGAATTCATACTTAGCATCAAAGGAGTATTTCATTATAATGCAAGATTACTTACTAGGCTCAACAACCTCAGTATTCAAGAAAGCTGTAATTGACAACTTCTATTAAGATTCCCATGCAGAAAAAACAAAACAGGACACAAACAACATGGGTAAAAAAGTGATAATAAGAATGGAAATGGTTATTGCTCTTGCAACAAAGAGTAATTTTCAGATAGAAAAATGAGTGGAAACAATATAATGGGTCATAGTCTGACTGAGTTCTTATAGGAAGACAGATGTAATCTCAGCAGGAAAAGGGAAGGGAAGGGAAGGGAAAAGAAGGCAAGGGAAGGCAAGGCAAAACAGTCCTGTGCAGATGAAGCAACAAACGTACACCCAGGCACTGAAGAGCAGAAACACCTAAGTGGCAAAACAGGATGTAGGTGGAGAAATCACTTCAGCAGCTAAACAGAACTCTGCAGAAATAATTGGTTTGAGTACAAATGCTGACTGTATATTGGAAGAGCTATCAAGGTTTAAAGAGTATAGGTACAACCAATGTCCAAGAATAATTGGTTACGTGTGTAAAGAGGGAAATGTTTCTGTTGTGTTTATCAACGTATTCTATTAATTTTAATTTCTGCATTTGAATTTTGTGTTTGAAGAAGACCTTTTTTTTTTTTTTGTTTTGCCAGATTACTAAAGTGAGGAAGAAAATAGTACTTTTTTCAGGTAATATTTTAGTGTATATATTCATCAGAATAAATACAACACAGGCATCTCCATTTCTGGAAGGATATCCCTTCTTCCTAGTTGCCAGTTCTTGCTGAGCAAATTGCAGTAAAATTACACCAATAAAAATGAATATTAGAGCTTATAATAACACAGAAGATTTTCCCTAGAAGTATGAACTAAGGATATTCTCCTACCCAGAAAAAAACGTACTGCATGGAGTTGTTCTTTCTAGAAGAGTTGTAGCTAACTGGGACAACTTCAGAGAAATTCATTTTCTTATTTGAAGACATTGCTATATTGACACATCTGGGAATGGGAAAACAAGGATAGAAGGAAGATAAGATGATGACCACCAGGAGGATGGACATTAAAGTAGAGTGACATGGTTAGAAGAAGGAGGAACAGAAATTCCAGCTCTTACTTCATCGTGGATAATGTGCAAAAATAGACCAAGCTCCACATTTTGAGTTAAGAAGAGATGCAGAAAGCAAAAGCTCTCAGGCTTCATTTTAGAGAGGGAAATGAGTCTGTACTCCTCCCTATAAGTGCTATAGAGGAATACCAAAAGATGTCCACCACAGAAAATAGTGACATCGAAAATCTACATAGAGACACAGGTGCTTTGGGATTGAACGACTGTAATATTGTTACTATATTGATACTATATTACAATAGTATCAGATAAGCATCCAGACTCGTAGGCACCTGGTTGAACTGCAAATCTTTCTGAGGTTCAACTTCTTTAATACAAGCACTAATGGGATTTTTTGGCAGAAAACTGACCCAAAGGAACAAAGGTAAATGTTGACAATTTGATAATAAATTTTACAGTAGACTAAGCTAAGACTTGGTTACCTATGACCTTTGAAAAATTATCATTATTTTTACATCAAAGTAGCACTAAGTAGAAGTAAATTTTTCATTTTCAGGGAGTCTCTGGTACATAAGTTCTCTGGTTCCCACATTGGCAGTACATTGAATAGAAAGGTTCTCAATTAGTATGCTGCATTTTGGCTGGGATTGATTTATTGATGAACAAAATGTATCCTTTTAAAAACAACAATTTATTTTAGTTTTTTTTTTTTTTTATTTTAAATAAGATTTGAAGCGCTCCAAAATGTTGCTTTATTATAGTATTTATTATTCTTCAATGGGATTAGTTTTGAAGTAACTGTAACTGTTAGAATCACAGAATCAAGTAGATTGGAAAAGCCCTTTAAGGTCATCAAGTCCTTTTTGCTTTACACAAGTTCTATAACAAAAAATGTAATGCTGGAAAAACTTGGATTCTTTCTAGACATTAATTTCTTCAGAGACCCTCAAAGCTGCTGACCACTCTTTTTTTGCCAGCAGCAGTAACTGAGAATTAAAGCTGAAGAAATTCTTCTGTTATCTGGAGATCATTGATCAGGCTGTGTAACCGTTTTGGTCTGCAGTTAAACTATAAACAAAGACTCGCATGTTTCTACTTGGGCTTTGGGTGAAAGTAGAAAATTGTACAATCTACATGGTAAATCTGAGCAAGAAGATTTACAGAAGACAAACATGCGTGGTAAGGAATAAATATACTGACCCTGGAAGAATTTAATTGAAACCTGCAACATTATTATTCTGGGAGCCAGGAAATGCAAGTAGTAGAATCTATGGAGCCACAACTACCAAAAGGCCATAGAGGGAGCACAACCGTAAGCAAAATAAACTTTAACTTTTTCAGAGTCTCATATTAATTCTTTTATTAATTTTATCTAAAATGATATAATACATTAATATTATTTGTTAACAGTGTCTGCTATTTAATATTTTTGTTGGTGCTTAAAAAGAATCAGTGTTTTAGAAAAACTCCATTTAGGAAGCTGCATTATACATAACTTATGTGTTCTGTAAACCTCAGGCAAAGGAAAAAATGGATTGGTAAAATGTGATATAAAGGCTTTATCAGCACATATGGGATATTTGCTGCATAAGCTATGTAGCAAATATGCTACATGGCTATGAAACCTTTCCAAACTATGCAACCCAGAAACATCAGTCCTATGCTGCACTAGCAATTCTTCTACTGCAATATCAATTTTTCTCTATACCCCCATGCATTAAAAACATATTTGTTATAAATTTTACAAAGGTTGAAATCTTTATGATGACTGGAAGCAACTATGTGGAAAACCGGAACAAGGAATACAAGATGAACAGATGAGAACAGTACAGATTGGTAGGGACAGGACAGAAGGGATCTCAGCTTCGGATATAGGCACAAAAATGTGTACACATTTCTCTCTACAGCCTGGGGCAGGAGCCAAGGTTACTGATTCTCACTACCATTCTGCTTTCAGCGAATATGTTTGAAGCACACCAGCAATGTTCCCCACCTCCTGATGTCAGTCCATGTAGTGTTACACCTTCTACTGCTGCTTGCTACCGCAGTAGTTTAGGTGTCCTGTATAGGAGATACCGTTCTTATGGTGGCTGTTGACCTGACAGAGAACCACTAGAATCCCACATTATGGTATTCCTGCTTCTTTTCAGCTTGCTCTTTTTAAAAGCAAGGAAATTATACTCCCAGACCTCACACACAGAAATATAACAGATGTAAATGAAGTTCTTCACAGTTTAAAAATTCCCAAAACAAAATCCCTTATGTAGCTTTGCTTGAGCTGTTTTGTGCATATACTATATCATTTACATGATCGCATCTTCCATCTTAAGCAGTGAACAAGAACATAAATGAGAGCTGTATAAAGGATGCTGCTGTCCATAGGACTCCTACTTCCCTGCTTTCAAATATATGTGAGAAATGCAAAGATGTTTCATTTCTCTCTCTGTACCAACTTCATCAGGATGTAGAGATTAAGGACAATAAAAATATCAGTGTGATGGAGGAGGAGATGGGCTGATTAGCCAATGAGCTTGAGACAGGGAGCAATATAGAAAAGTTTATGAAGGAAAATAGGGCAGAGTAAATGGTCCAAGTGGAAGCTGGCACTGATCAGTTTCAGCAGAGGATAAAGAATAGTCCCATGGCTGTTCTGGAACACTGGATTCCTGTTTTTTCTGTAGAGTTCATGCTTTTTCACAAAGGCTCAGTCACTCATGTAGGACTGACTTCTGAATTCCCACAGCTCTAAGCAAATTCAGTGGGTACTCTGGCATTGAACAAATACAGTATTCTCTGCAATCTTAAGAACTCTGACAAATGGAGTCCTAGAAGTCTCAAGCAATCAAAATTATATGCTTAGGTTTTCTGGCTTTAACATGGGGCTAACCCTAATCCTGACTTAATTCGGGGTATAACTGCAGATGAAAATAAACTAATTCCTTTATAACCAAGATAAAGTATTTAGTAAACACTCAGATGCAATGAAGTAATAAATGTGTGAGTGAATTAGTAGTTATGTCTTGAGAGTACAGTTGAAAAAAGTGCAGTGAATAACAGACAGGGCCTCACATAGAATAATGAGGAAAACTGAAGAAATTCATTAGCTGCTTATGCAGTGATCACTGCCTTCCTTGTGCAGTGAATTGCCTTGTTATCCTATGGAAATGTATCTGATCAGAAAATGAAGGACTGCCTTGTGATGAAAATGCAAAAGAGAGCTAAGTTAGCCTGCTTAAAATTTTTTCATTCACTAACTTGAATTCACTTAACTGAGTTTTTATGTGTTCAAAAGATATTATGATAATTGCCAAATAAATAACTTATACTAAATGCTAAGCAAATAATAGATGCTAAACCTAAAAATATAACTTTACATATGACTGAATCTTGTTCTCTTTGCTTAGGCAAAACTTGAAATAGGTAAAGAGAATGGCATGAGAGAGGAGTGGGGTCTCAAGTTTAAGTTAATGTTTTTAATTTCTTCCTGGATTCTATTAGGTAGGCTTGATTGCAGATGCTGAGGAAAGGCAGAGGAGATACAGTAATTCAGGAATACCTTCCTAACACAAGTGGAAATTTTATAAAAGCCTAGAGCAGCAATCTATGTGCTTAAAGTATTTTTCATGCTGCCCCAAGAGTCTTGTCTGTGTTTTGCTTACATAATTACATTTCCTTGCACATCTACCACTTGAACCATCCTGACCCAAAATCCAAGTCCAAATCTGAGAATCTCTGGGGTTACATGCCCGTGTCTTACTCTGCTTATACTTACACATTCTTCCTAATCTCATTTACATTCCCTCCCCCTGCATATCACAAAGCCGCCTAGCAGCCTATACCAGCATAATCAAACCTGATTGATAGTTTCAAAACACTGTTTTTGACTGGGTAGGAAATAAATTGTAAGTTTTGTACCTACCGTTTACATCTAGTGACTAGAGTAGCTAATACTAGAAAGCAGTCTTACTTCAGCAGCTTTCTCATGCTTACATTCTTTTCTTTCCCATGCTTTACACTGAGGTGTGATTATTTTTCAGGGTATGTACTGAACTCAAAAAATGCTATTTAAGGCACTCATGTATGGTAAAGACAGAATACTGCTTATCATGGCAGTATAAGATATCCATTTATACTTTCCCTTCCAATTTTTTTTCCTCATTACTTACAAGCATCTTTCTGTGTTAACCATAGTACCAACTCAGGAGTACCACAATCTCATAGCACTAACAAACACATATGGAGTTCCAGCTGAGCATACAGAGCAGGAATACAGATCAAAGCTAAGCTTCATGATTCTCTAACTTTCATTGCTTATAATTGCTATTCCAAAAGAAATGAAACAAATTGTAAAGAATGCATTTTAAGTAGGGGAATAGCTAAGTAAACACTAAAAAACATAGTCAAATTAGAAAATTCATTAAGCTGATAACAGTGATACGAACCTGGGGAAAATTATGCAAGCATTAGGGAAAAAGAAATTGTTTTCTCTTCCCTCCAATCTACATCTGAGAAACTACAGCCCTTTACTGGTTGTGTAATCAGAAGTATTTCATCAGTCTGACCGCATGAGAATTTTCTGCTCTAACTAGTAAACTCAAAAGTTCAGAGAAAAATTGAATAATAATTCAAACTTTTAGGTGAAATTCCAGAAGCTCTGACTTTTGTCCATCCCTATCGCATAATGAAAACACAAAAGGAAAAACTACATCAACAGACTTATGTATAGAGCCAGCCTATATGGAATTTCTAGAGACTTCAACGCATGATGCAAGTAGGATCAGTCTCTTCTGCACCAGCTCTCCAGCATTTCTAATTTCTGATGCAACTATATACAATTTGCAATCAAATAAATACTTATAAAGAAAGTATTTGTTCTGTATATCTTACTTGAGTTCTTGTGAGCTTGTGGCCAGCATACTTCGGATGCTTTTGTCAGCCAAGGGACAGCCAGATAAACTGTAAGACATGGCAGGACATATAAGTAAGTTAATCTTCTCATTAACTGAACAGTCCCAAACAAACACAACATAAAATTAAAAAGTAAAAGTTTGTAATGCAGAAAAGCGATGGGGCAAGTGCTGTAATATTGAATTTTGTAATATAGTTAACCCTCTGAATATATTTAGGTATCAACATTACTTCCAAAATTACATACTGTAAATGGTCTTTTGTTTGTTTGTTTGTTTCTCTAGGAACTAGTAAAATGTAACAAAAGATATTTGAGATTCCTGGGTTAACTACTTAAATGCTTAAGAATACTTTGGAAATTTTAGTAATCTATTTAAAAATAAAAGACGTTTATACAACACACAAATTAGCATGCTTTTAAGATCAACATATATTACTCAAAGGGTTAACACATAGTTCAACGTTTTACTTTGACAGCATTGTTGAGGTAAGCTGAAAACAATAAATTGAAAAGACAGAATCCACCATGAAAAAAATGAAGTCACACCTTCTATGTGAGGCGTAATTACCAGTCACATGACCACTCCCATCACACCCTGGTGTTGGACATCTGCCACCAAACAAAAACAAAAACAGCCAAAATAGTAAGTATGTTTAAAAAAAACTTTTAAAAGTTTCATTGTTTCCAGTTTAGCTGCAATGACTGCAAGGGGTTTTAAGCATCCTAATCGAAAAGCTGCAAAATGAACAGGTTTAAATGAAAATGGTGTCTCAATACAATATAGCATCATTAAGAACAAGCAAATACATGTTAGCTTATCACTTTACTTAACTGGCAGTTCGAAACATTTATATGCTGCAAATGTTGCATGCTCATACTGCAAGGCGTATATGTACTCGTTTGTTTAAAATAAGACAAAGAGAGAAAGGTTAAAAGGAGAAAAATAATTTCACCTCACATTATGCTTACGTTATTAAATCCTTTTTGCTCTCTTTGCATTGAGGGTATTTGGGTTTAGGACTTGGGATAGTAACTTCACCAGGATACCTTCTTTCTTCAAGTGCCTCTTGGAAGGGATCCAAATCTTCTGGCTACAGGTAAATATGTACACATCAGTTTCTGCCAGATGAGGTTGCAACTTACACAAAATAATGCAAAGCAGCAGCATCAGATGTAATCACCTTCTTTATCTTATTCTGACAGAGAAATTGAAATTATTTTATATCATTTCACATATTAAACTTTTGAACAATACTCGGATATTTCAATGAAGCCTTAACAACGTGTGGAATATATAGGTTGTTTAACTTGAAAAGAAAAAAAGGCAAAACAGCTTTTTCTATAGCTGTCATACTATTTTGCTTTAGCAGAATCAGTATTTTTTCCTAAAGGCCTAATACAATATCTTATGCATCAAAAAACAAACTTAAATAACATTTTTTAATGGTTTAGAACACCTCAAAGATGAAATAGGAGCAATCTTAATGTCTACACGCAGAATCTCAGTCTGGGGCAAACCTCAATGGATCTGTCTGGAAAAACAGAATTCCATCATTTGCAATTAACTTTACTGATGTATTCCAAGACTTGAAATCCTCTGTTTAAGGACTGAAGTGGCTGAATGCATTGATTTAGCCATTCCTCCAGATGGTGCTATAAACACCACAGCAGAAATAAGGAGTTCTTGCCCTGAAACAAACATGTTGACTTACCTCAGATTTCCTTGATAGCGACAGATATCGTAACTTGAGTGAAATTAATATCAAAGCTGTAATTAACAGCAAAACTAGACTGCATTCAGTGTACCTAGTGAAAATGCCACTTTTCTGTCTCAAACTTGCTGAAAATATTTTTATGTTTTAATCAAAATTGGCAAGTGATGTGCTACACACAAGTGGTTAGCCTAATTTTCTGTTATAAACCAAGAAAAAACTGAGAACAAGCACTAGAAGTCTCCAAAGAGCTAAACTACATTGAGTGCAGGATCATAAACTGTACAGTGGATACGAGTTAAAACATTATGAACAGAAGCAGTGACATGGAACCTTGCCAACAAGCTCTTCAATGTCACGGCTATTCTAAGTTTTGAAAAGTAAAATAAGTTCACTACTGTATTTTCTTTATTTCCCTCTTATTTCTAAGGGTTTTGCTGTTTTGGTATTATCAATTGAAAAGCAAAACTGATTTCTAAAATACTTTCTTTGTCTTGAAAGAAAGTATCTCATTAATACAGGCCCTTTCACAGACAGCTATCAGCAGCATATAAGTAATCTAGAAGATTAGCTGAAATAGTCAAAAGCTTACATTATACTCTGCTGCTTTTGTTTAAATGGATTTCTAAGTAGTATATGCTTTTAAATACTCAGCACATCATTTATGGTTTTCAAATTCAGAAGAATATCTTGTCTTGAGAGCTGATTAACCCAGTATTGCACAGTTATGTCAACTTGCTTATACAGAGAAATGTAATCTGGAGATCTTGAAATGATTTTACTGTAGAAAATATTTGTTAACAAGATGATGTTATTAGAAAACGTGATTCACATTCATGGTTCAAATGTTGTCTTATGGAATTTAGTCACATATCAGATGTGTGCCAGCATGGTATAGTCCTAAAGATTAACCAGCAAAAAGTCCTTTTGTATAAACCCACCATTTTAATCACATTTTAATGTTTTCTCTTTCCCTCCAAATTTCAGAAATGTAACAAATTACCAAAATCAGATTGCAACAAGAACTAATAGATGAAAAAGACATACATTAATCTCTTTGGAATCATCTTCATCTATCCTAGTGGGCTTCATTTTAGTGTAGTCCACTGGCAAGTCCCAACAGTCATTCTCATTCAGTTGGTAACACCGGTTATTCATCACAGCTTGTCGTTGCGGGGACATTGGCTCCAGTGGTGTCAAAATGGTACAGCAACCATCTCGCTGCCTCTGCTTGTTCATGCTCAGATCTAATGTCCCATTTTCATCGACTTCCATATCAGGATTCTGTCAAAACAAGAAAAATACTGTTAATTCGGCTTCACACTAGCAAACTGCTACCTCTTCTTCAATCTGACTGCCTAGCAGAATGATAAAAAGCTTTTCCATTCCTGTATAGATTGTAAGCATTGAGCCCCCTCCCACACATAGCATGATGCTGTTATACAACATTAATGCTGTTAAAGCAGATTTATTCCTGAATGTTTAATCTCATGTTTGGGGGAAAAGGGGAGAGTCTTCATTAACCTTCCTGTCACCTGGCACACAGGTGAAAAATTTGGAATAAAAGGAGAAATCTTTAAAGGTCATTGTATTGATAAAAGTCATTGTTCTTGATGCATTCTGTGACAGGTATCTCTAAGTTAACATCTGCATAATTCTTGTTTCCAGTTCTGACACCTATCTGGGTGATGAGAGTAACAAAAACCAGCTAGCATCAAACAGTCTTTGTTTCTTTGTTTATTTAAGATTAACAGTCAATGCTTAAAAGGATAGTGCCAGAAAATTAAACAGTGAGGTAGGGTAGCAGAACAAGTCCTTTTGGACACCACGTGCCAGTGAGGAAATGCATTTAGATTTTACAATTCACTCCCTGCAGATGTAAATGTTTTAACATTTCCTGTGTCTGTCTTCATAATTAATATATTTAGGTAGCAGAATAGTTGCAACAATAATTGCACCAATTCCTGCAGCAACTGAGGTGCTATGAAACAGGGTGAATATGGGCTCTGACTTTTTCTTTCATAGAAACAAGGGTTATCTGTTATATTAGACAAGGAGAAATCAGGTATATTAAAATGAAGACAAATTTAAAAAAAAAACCTAAGGAAAGATAAAATAAAAATGTCCACAGAGAATCCCACATCTTTTAAAAAATGAAAAGCTCCATGCGAACTTGAGTTTCAAAACCAGTGTGAATGTGACTGACTCCTTGTGTGTCTGGTGACTTTCTCTTCTCTTAACAACAGAGCTGCAGGGAAGCAATGTGAATGTAACTCTCTCTTTCTGAATTACTGCCTTTTGTCAGAGCATATTTCTAATTGCTGCTATCCTGCTAATTTAATTTAGAAAATATTTGTTTATCTTCACAGATTCATTCCTTCAGTCTCAATAGGATGACATGCTAGGAAAGAGGCCCCTTCTGATTTTGATACAGAAGATATTTTTCATTTTATTCTAACTTTTTCCATTATGTTGATATAGATAACAACTGCAATTATTTACATGCCAGAAAGTGCTAAGTAAACTAGTATAATAAGCAGCATTTGAAAACAAAGTCACCATCTATTCTGGCTAAAATAATGGTTATTACTAACACCTAGTGCTATGGGTTTAGTTTGTTATGAATGATCTAGGGGCTTTACAGGATGAGAGGAAGATATGTAGAAGATATCTGCCTTTGTCTATATGTAGAAGAACAGAACATGTCTGCCAGTTCAAAAGCTCTTCTGTAAGCACAATAAAAATGATTTCCTCTGCACTGAATCTGTCTACTTAGCCATCTAGTGGTCTTCTATAGGAAGCACCGTACTGTTTGCTGGTGCATGTTAAAGGCTTATTTCTTAACAGCTGTCACAGTCAAAATTTAAAGTTTATAATAAAAACAATATCTCATGAATCATATAGTACATTTTTTTTCTTAATATATAAAGCTTAACAACAAAAGTCAATATAGCCATTTCATAATATACTGAGTCTCTATGAACATGCAGAACATCACTGACACTGCACTACTGTTAAGCACATTTAAAGTCACCTGTACCAGAGGATTTGTTCATTCCAGATGTATTATGCAGTGACTTCAGAACTGTGATATTACAGGCAGGCAAGAAATTATAACATACAAGTAGCATAGATTTCTTTGTATTAGATCTTACAACTTTAGGTCCCATTTGTGACTTTTTTAAATGAAAATGCATCATTAAATCTTAATCCTTTCACAAAATGTATGAATAAGGC